TAATTTACATTTTCCATGGCATACTTTTGGGGCTGATGACCTTGAAGGCCAGCCGAGCCGGCATATACTAATTTATGTGCCCGACATAATTTGATCTAATTTATCTATGCATTACATATATTTAGAATTTAAACTGTTTGCAAAATTTTACCTCCACGAACAAGCTGTCATCTGCAATAACTTTCCATTTCGTACGAGTCTACAGCATCCAGAAGGCTTTGCTCTGCTTTTTGTACATTGTTTGCCCTTTGGCCTTTCCTTTGTGCTGGATGTGTCAGGCGCGATTCTCTAATTCCCAATTTTGGCATTAAATGTTTTAATTATGCATAACGTTTATGACACTTGCCATTACGCTTTTCACACACAACGCACAAGGCAGCTCAGACACACACACACACACACATCTAGACGTACTTTCTCTCTCACACACATACACATAGAGGCATCCTCTGGCACATTCATAATCGCATTTTTAATGTGTTCACAACAAGCTGCCGGGCGACAATGTAAAATTTTTTGCTTGCTCCCCCGCTTAGTTTTTGACCTTGTTGCATAGAGTAGGTCGTCATTAACACCGTTATACCCTATAGCTGAGATGCACTGAAAGGGTATTTGCATTGAGTTGTGCGGAATGGGTAGAGGAATATATAAAATATACCTTCTGCTTATATATTTGCATATCATATTCCGATAGTTCGATACATTTAAAAAACCAAAAAAATTAATCGAATTTCGACTACATTATCCATAACAATATTCATCAAGCAAAGTAAGCGCTCCATAATAACCGAACTCTGTCAAATAAAAATGAACATTTTATCCACGAACTACTCAAACTTTCTTAAATTGTTTTGCAGAGCATCCACTAGTCAGCTATGCTCGTTTATCGGTTCAGTTCTCGTGTGTTTTGCTCTGCTGTCAGTTTTAGTGATGCGTTTAGTGATGATGACCCACATTTTGGTTAGGTTCTTTGGTGGCCCAAATGCTGATGGCTTATTTAAAATTAAATGGACAAAAAGTCGCCAGCTGGACTTTATGGAGGCACGACGGGGCGTATGAGTGATGAGTTTCAGCCAGATATTACGCATACGCCTGCGGGCGCTGCCCCTGCAACCATTTGCCCATTAATATTGCCCTGCTTAAGCACACAAAAGTAAATTGAAAAATAATTGCTAAATAACACGAGATGAACGAAGACAGCGGAAGGGAGAGAGAGAGTGCGAGTACAAGAGAAGGCGAGACTGAGTGGGTAGTTTGGTTGGTCTGGCAACCCGAATAGCAACGGAATTAATTAGAATTTAGCTCTAGCTCGATTTTCTTGCTTAACACGTTTTTTCCCTTCAGTTCCAGTCCCAGCGAGTTGCTAGGACAACGTGACTGTGGGGCCTAATCTCGAGCAGATTTCTGGCTGGAGTCGTGTGTTTGATTGATGATGGCTGGATTGAGTTGATACCACCTGGCACACTGATATTCCACTCTCTCTCTCTCTAATATCCTGGCCCTTTGAAATTCAATGATGTGCCCAGATTATTTAAATAATTTCCCATTAAATTGAGCAGAGAGCATTTGTCAGTCGAACGGAAATTAAATGTTTGACATTATTTGTAGAGCTGAGTGCCTTTTACATTTGGTGACACATGTCCTTTTTGCCATCTTACTTGAGGTAAATTAGTTGTTAGCCTCAGCTCGCCCACCGCCTCGAGAAACGCTCGCCGCATGTTTATGTTTTCTTTTATTTTCCTCTTATTTCCACTTCGTGTTGGGATTCAGCTTTGCGGCGCTCTCCACTTGGGTCGAAGGCACGTGCGTTGCTCCTGCCTGTGCGGATATACTTCTATACCTATATACATATATCTAAGTATATGCTTGTTTATGTGAGCAAAGATATAATAATTTATAGCACATAAGTGTGCTGCTCGATTGAGCTTGAACGAGCAGCAGATACCCTGCCCGCAGCTGAACTCAAAGTTGAGCTTTGAATTCTTTGGAGAGTTGTTCGTTTTGAACCCTGATGACTTTATGTGGATTCAATAAGTGAACTTTTTAGTAGAGCTTGAGCGACCAGTGGATACCCTGTAGGCGGTTGATAAGACAGAGAAGTGGCCAGAGGCACGATATCTTTTTGGGAAGTCAAAAGTTTGATTGAGAAATATCGACTAGCACATATCCTGCATGCAGCTGAATATATCGATAAATCGATAAGTCTTTCGTCTCTCGTTAAAGACAGCTTGACGATTCTATGTTCAACAAGAAAACACGTTTATTTCTATATATAACATATGGACTACTTTAGATTGATATAAGTGGGGTTTATTTCTTAGATTATTTATATCTTTTCGAGTTTAGAATATTCATCGATATCATAAGAGTACAGTTCTGCTAAATTTTTATTGATGAATTGTATAAAAATGTGAACTATATTTAGTTACTTGAAGCATTGCCATAAAAGATATGCATATGTGTTACATATTTTTAGGTTTATATAGATAGGACTCTTATAAGATTTAAGTTAAGTTTGATTATTTATCGATCACTTAAGAAAATGGTGACGACAGCTGTCACTAAATACAGCTCAGCTTTTTATTGCAAGAACTTTGTATTATATTGCCAAACTTCTTTGTCAGCGCCATAGATGGTGCTTATTGCGCTGTGGCTGTCCCTGTCCCTGCCTCTCACTTTTTCCCTGACCTTGCCTCTGTCCCTCTGCTTGAGGCATTTCAACTCACCTGGGCAGTGGAAACTTTTCGCTCTGGCCTGATGCCTGGCGCTGCAGGCAGAATTTGCCCACTTTCATGCGCATCCTGAAACGCTGTCTGCGGCGTCTCGATTCGCTTCCAATTGCTCGCTGGCTGTGACCCACGCTGAAGCCGTTGCCCAGACGTTTGCTCAAGTTGTTGTTGATGTAGTTGCTGTATTTACTGTGGCTGGCCTCGAAAGTCGTTGCTGACTTTAATTAAATTAGCTCGCGTCGTTTTTGTTCACTGAATTGAATTGAGTTTAATTTGCGCCTCTGTTGAAATTAACTAAGACCACAAATGTTGATTTGGAACTTGTTGTGGCTATTTATTAATTGTTATTAATTAATTATTATCGCAAATCACATTCACATGTATTTTTCTTATTTCTGATTTGATTTTTTTTTACGTCTGCTGCAAATCGAGTTTGCGCTTTGCCCTAAGCCTTTCTCTTGTACATCTTGCTGTAAGTTTCCTCCCTTAGTATTATTTTTGTTAAATTTATTTATTTATTTATTTTTTTTTTTTATATATTTTTTCGCTTCTGCACGTTCCTTTCGTTCACTTCAAATGTCACTCGCATTACGCATTACGCATACGCCACGTTGCTTTCACTTTGCTGCTGCTGAAGTGAATGAAATATTCTGTCGTACGTCACTTCAAGTTCATCCGCTGGCACGCACAAAACAGTTACATGAATCGACTCCCAAAAATAGCTAGATGGAGTGCCTGACTAACAGATACCCCAAAACTTTTTCAACTTTTTTCTTCCTCGAAAAAGTTCAAGTTTTTAATTTCTGGTTTCGTTTGAATAGGGCGTTGCTATTCATGAAATCAAATATTCTAAGTTTGTATGTGAGCTTTAAGAATCCATATACAAAACATGATTCATCTAGCTCTTAAAGTTCTCGAGATATACTTAAAATAGCAAGTCTGAAACTGAAACTTACAAAATATTTACTTTAAAAAATTCTTTTACATTTTATTCTCGTTTAATTTCTTACTATTATTCCATTGTGACAAAACATATATCAGACCAGTCCCATATACATATAATATCTACAATCCTACATCTATTCCATCGCCTTATCACATATCTAGCCAACAAATCATCATAGTCCCTTTCACGTAATACTAGAAAGAGACCAGGATTAATAATAAGTTGACAAATTAGCAAGATAGTCGCCAGTAATTAGAAGTGGGCTCGTGCCAGGGGGCGGGGTGGGCACAGCAGGTGGTGCTTTGCACGCAGCGTGTCATTCCTTTGTGATGGATGAACCACCCGCGTTGCTCCACTGATTAGAAATCAATGAATCAATATTCATTTACGCCTTGGGCAGACTTTCAGCTCCAATCGACAAATCACTAGACACATCATGCACATACACACACATACTCTTGTAAAACTAAACGCCCGCACACACACACACACCCACACACTCAAATATGGGCAGCTGTCTTGGTGTAAGCACGTCTCAGTTGATCTGAAAGTTTTTATTAAAGCAGCACATCCACCTAAGCTCTATTAGACTAGCCAACAAATGTTTGTTTTACGATAGTTTACGTATTAAATAATAGATAATAATATATAGTTATGCATTTAATAATTTAACCACTTACTATTATTTATCTATCGTCCATCTATCAATCTATTCATTTATTCAGGTATACTTCTATACATCGTACTATCCATTCATATCAAAATTTATCCATATCTCTTCATTTATCCATTTATCTCTCAATTTCAATATTATCAATCTCTTCGTCCATCCATTCGTGCATCTATATATCTATCCGTGTATTCATTTATCATTTATAAATATATCTTTCCATTTTTATCTCTCTTTCCATTCGCCCATCTAATTATTTGTTACTTCCTTATAACCTATCCATCTATTCATCGATCATCTATCTTTTTAACCTTCTATCTATCCATCTAACCCTCTATCTATCTATTTATTTTCCCAACTGTTCATCCATTCATTTCACCAGCAGTGCTATGCCAAGATAAATCTTTCCAACTGTGCATTTATTCATCTAGATATACATCTATTCATCTATCTATCTACCTATCCACTTATTCCATCTATTCAGCTTTCCATGTATTCATCTATACACATGCTGCATCTATCCTCGTTGCCCTTCATCTATTTAATCACCTATCCACATATATTCTCTATAATAATGTGATTTCATATTTTCATATTTTCCCAAGGCTGCACCCTGTTGACTAGTGTTACGAACAGTGCGAGTAGATAATTGTATTGGGTCTTGTGGTCGGTCACGTAGCGTCCCGGCTTTGGCTGGTGTTTGGTACTCAATTTGTGTAATGCGTATTAATTTTCAGTTGATTATGTTGTTTGCCAAAAACTAATCCTGATGCAGTCGTGCACCATCGACTAATCGATTAATCGATTAATTAGCTGCCGGCCGGGCCAGAAATAAATGAAGTAATTAAAAATGTGGCCTGGCTGCTGCTGCTGCTGCTGGCTGCTGGAATTTGCCAAAGGGGTTGCTCAACAAATTATGCAAAATAACTGACTGAGTGCACACACAAGCACACACACACACACAGAGAAACACCCATACACCCATACACACCTTTACGCACACTCATATACACCTGGGATTAGGTGCTGTGCCTGCTTGGACCGTGATAGGGATATTAAATGGGCTTCCGGTTGGACGCTCTGGCAAGCGAATGACCCAATGACCCATACCCATGAAATATAAATGTGTGTATGTGTGTATGCGCGTATCATATGCAAATTAACTTTTCCTGAATTCCTTTCATATTAATTATGTAGCAGCTTTAATGACTTTGCGATTTGGAAAAAAGTTTCGACATTTACCCAAAAAAAAAAAAGAGAGATGTTTGCACAAAACGTGAGCCGCAAAAATAAGAAAAATGTTTTATTTGCTGTGTTCTGAAGTTTTAATACCCTCACTCTAGGTTCTTCCCAGGGAAACTTGTTTGCATTTGATTGAAAATTTGAATTTTAAGGAAGTTCTAAGAATAATGTAGATATTTTTCATTAGAATATAAATACACGTATTTCATTTTCGGTTTTGAATATTCAAATATTTTTGCTCGTTTAATTATTCTGCATTAATAATTTATTCTGAAGGTATTTGGCATATAATTAAGGGGTTAAGGTAGAACAGTCCTTAGATAATAGAAGCTATCCAGTCGCTTTAATTTGAAAGAAAATTGTATATCAAAAAGCAAATTTTCTGCCTCATTTGTGAACAACATTAAGACAGCAGGGCTAGCTGAGTTTTGTTTACCCTTATCAAATCAACTGTTACTGCTGATTAAGAATAGATTTAAATTTTCAGAAAAACCCCTTGCCATAAGTAGGGTACAAAAAGGCAACAAATTTAGACATTTGTTGTAACCGCTTGGCGCTTTTGGCAATCAGTTAAAAATTTATGAAATTCCAAATGTACGCAAAAAAAAAAGGAAAAAGTCTGTAAAGTATTCTCAGAGCAGCGACGCGAAAAGTTTTCGTGTTGTTTTCGTGCAAAGTTGGAAAAACAAAATGAAAATGAAATGAAAACGAAATAAAAGTAGGTGTTTTGTCAGCAAGTCCAATAACAAGAAACGCACAGACAAACGCACACACACACACACATGCACACAGAGACAGACAAGTAAGACATAAGCCCACGCACAACAAACAACAAGTTGGTGTTATGTTGAGCAAACATTGCTGACTGTGAGATACCCTGGGCCTTAAGTAGAAGGAAGGGAGACCAGAGATAGAGAAAAGAGAGAGAGAGAGAGAGAGAGAGTGGCTGAAAAAGGTTAAGGGAGAAAGAAAGGGAATGTGAAAAAAGAACCATAAAGAGTTAAGGCGAGAGTATGAGAGCTAGAGAAGCGATATGAGGCAGCGAGGAGGATAGCAAGAGAGAGGAAAGAGGATTGAAACAGATGAGGGAAACAGAGCTAGGAAACCAGAGAGTGAGATAAAAGAGAGAAAGCAAGTGAGAGAGAGAGAGAGAGAGAGAGAGACCGCAGAGAGTGATGACAGAAAGGCAGAGAGAGAGAGAGAGAGAGGGAGTTAGTGAGAAAGAGAGACACAGAGAGAGCAGCAAAGAGAAATGACGGATTGACGACAGATTGCCAACAGTGAGCAAGTGAGTGAGAGTAAGAGACAAAGTACGAACCAAAGAGAGAGACATGGTAGGGAATTGAAAGTACAGAGGTAAGAGGTAAGAGAGAAACAGAAAGAGAGAGTCAGAGCTGATGGTCTGGAAAGTCAAAATGATGTGAGACTTAACAAAATATATATTTTATATATATTCATTTTATTAAATCAACTTGTGTACTACATTTTAAATTTATTTTAATTATTTTTTTTTTTTTGTTATAATTAATATCAAATTATATTTCTTGTTTTTTTTTTCTCTATAATCTATTCACTCTGCTTTTTCTTAAAGTGTAACTTCAGAGAATTTATATTTTATGTAAAAGCCCAAAAATTCGTTTTGTCTATTTAATACTCTTACCCAAAAAGTTTTGTGGAAACTTTATTGAAATTGCATGTGCTATAATAGGTTTATGCTAAGTCATAGTGGATGTATTTCATTTTGTGTGTGTGTGTGTGTGAGTGGGGGCAACAGTGTGTGTATGTGTGTGGAAATTTTTGTGTAGCCTACTTTCAGGTTCAGCCGGCTATACGAAATGTGCCTCTATTTGGCTGTCTACTTTTGTCATTTCTTAATGATTCTATCTGTTTGGATGTATTACTTATTTGCGTGGCCAAATGTAACAGTATATGTATATACATATACATATATACACACATACATACATAGTTGTACATACAGTTAATTATTGAGGTGTGTCTCGGTCAATCGAATATATGATTAATATGATTAATATTTATGTGAGATTCTGTCACACTTTGGCCTCTGATAAATTTCCAATGAGGTTAATTGAATGCTGAAGAATTTTTCGGCTTCGGGTTTCCTTTTTTTTTGTCTCTTTTTCGTGTACTTTTGGGCAGGTGTACTGCAGGTGCGATGGTATTTTTTATTTCACAAGCTTCAAGGATATAGGTGAAGGATAAGAATAACCGTAAATTGGATAGATTATTTGCTGTTAAGCCAGATAGCTTATATATGAAACGAGTTGAACAAAGGACTGGAGCTCATTGGCTACGACTGGCAGATACCCTGCATTAAACAGAATTGTAAAAATAATTTTAATTAAATCAAGCAGCTTGGCTGAAAACTAAGACAAGAGAACTTTAATAATATTTTAGATGGGTCCCATATCATATATAATTTCATGGCATGTAGTGTATATCAAATGTTAAACTAATTGATATAATTTCTTGAGACAATACTAAT